GGAGGGTGATAATTATAACTACTGGTGAATCATTTTCAAAAGTATTTTCTGTGAACTGGTATGACTCAGTGATGTCAAGAGATGTCTCTCTGAACCTGGCATTCTTTATGTACTCAAGGATGACAACAGCGTTTTCTAATGTCAATCTAACGTCAATCTAATGTCACTGTGGACAGTGCATGCCCATGCTAATGTCAAAGGTAATTGAATTCTTTGTATTACCTATCAAAGCTGAAGATCCTGCTAAGCGCGTAACACACGGCAAAGCCAATCACCACACAGCAAAACATCCAATTCAAACTCAACTGAAGGAAGAGGAAGAAGAAGAGATTTAAACTTTCTCTTACATAATGTATAAGCGCTTAATTGCATGTAATTTAAAAGAAAAACTGGACTCGTAAAACAGTTTAACATTCGATCATAGTTGAACAGCTGTACTTGCAAATCTAGTGAAAATGTTACAACAAAAGAGAGCGCATCCACGAGGGTCAAACTCATTTTTATTCAGGAAAGAATACATTTAGAAAAAAATTTCAAAAGATGGAATTGCTGCTGGTCTAAAGGCATGCAATTTGGGGGTTTAAAATCAGTGCGGATTGGTTTGCCGTAATTTTCCTTGATTAAAAAATGTGTTCCATGTTATCGGTTATGATTAGTGGTTTAGATGAACTAAGATAGTGGTCATCCACAAGGCATTGCGCGCCTTGTCCTTGAAATTTCCAATGTGGTCTATCACCCAGGTGCATAAGAAGGATTTTTTCTGGGTAGTTATTTTAGTGGTTTCTCGCAATTGTATTGAGAAATTTTTGTTTTAACTAGAATCGTCGATGACATCTCGCTTTCCTTCACATCGCTGGAAGACCTACAGCTGAGGAGCAGACGAAAAACTACAACCTGTGGAATGATAGGAAGGATAGTCCCAGCATCAAAGCGATTTCAACTTCTGCCTTCAGAGATAAGTTCTGACCATTGAATTTCCTTTGCGATTTGATCAAATGCGTTGGTTTTGAAGAAGGTGCCATTTCCCTATTAGTAAGTTCTTGAGCTTTGATAAATCCTGATGATATTGTGTTTAAAAATGCAATATTTTCTACTGTGTTCTATTTTCTGTTTTTTAGTGACCCTTCTCTGCGAGAGTTGATAATTTCAGACATATATTTCTCTAGAACGTCGTCGTGAATCCTCTATTCCCTTCTTTGATTGTATTTTGAAACTCTGTATGTTTTTATTTATCGTAGAGCGCGTCGGATTTGTTCTTAGGATGCGTAACGCATCTCCTTTTGCAAATCCTTTCTTTACATCTGGTAAAAAGTGTTGACAGGCTGGCAAGACTCCTGCCGGGCGTTGAGTACAATATGAACAATTTTCTCCGCAGTTGCTCTATGTAAACAAAACAGAGGCGTGGTTGACTAGTTCTCTACATGTTGAAGTCGTATTTGTAATCACACATATCAATGTCTTATCATTGGCTGTCTATCTTGTGTCTGCCATCCTGACCGAACAAGCTTGGTCAACATAACTGTTTTTATAGCACAATAAACACATGAGAGTCGTTTATGTTTTCTTTGTTTAGACAGTCCTCTTCCGCTTTTGCAACTCTATCACCGATTACGAATACTTTGTATTCGACAGATGAAGCTTGTCAGTTTAACTATAAACGAATTTAACTCAAGGGAAAAGGTTGTACTACCCTGGGCTAACTTGATGATAGAGTCTACCTACCTCAGTCATTCGTAAACTGTATAAAGTGATAGATTTGCACAAAGCGATTATCATTCTTGATTCGGCTGATTGTTGACTAGCTATATTTTGCCAAGCAATGATTACCGCTTCACTCTCGCGGAGTCTATTTTTGCTTTCCCCTGAGAAGCAAAAGAAAAGAGACCTGGGCTCATTAGTTTTCCAAACTCAATTTTCCCCACCGAACAAAAACCTTAAAGTCATAAAGCGATATATACAAATATTATGTCAACTATAATGGAACTAGTTCTTCTTCTTGCATATTCCAATTTGCCGTTTGGCGACCTAAAGTCACCAAGTTAAGCCTGTGCGCTCCGTTAAACTCCTCGGAATTTCATTCCCAACTTGTAGTCTTGGCAGGATGGCGACCTTCCTTTTAAGTTTTGGCGCTAACAAAATGTGACGAATGTTCATCTTTAGCTTCCACCAAGAAATTGGTTAACATTTCAACATTTTCCATTTCGAGAATTATTACGACAAAACACGACTTTCTGGTTAATGGGGTAAAACTGGTCGCACTCAACCTCTCCGGAAAAATCCAACAGGTCACCAGGATACGTGTGCTAAACTGTCCGCCTTTGACAGGTTCATCAGGTCGCCTGCAGTTCGTTTAAAGGTTTAGGAACCACAATTATTGTCGCGCGCTATTACAGTTATATTTTTTATCGATTAATAACGAACTGGCAGGTTACTGACATACAGAACCAAACTGACTCGGTCAAATCCATTTCCACCTCCCAATAAATCGCTGGAAAGAAAAGAAACGTTCTTACCAAAGAATTTTCCACCTGTAACACCCTGCGATTTAGCAAACTTAAACCTTTCAATTCTTAATAAACTTAATTAATTCTTTGACCTCATCACTGGCATCCTTTTAGTAACATGACACTTCACAGTTTCCACAAGGCTTAACCTAATGGTGAAGTCCTTTTTTTGCGAGTAGAATACATAGTCCTCTAGTAAAAACGGTGCCAGTATTGAACTGTGAAATGAAATCACCCAAACCTCTTCAAACAGTTGAAAACGTTTCTGCAAAACTGTTTGGTGCAATTGCGTAAGCTCTATTGTTAAACTTAAATAAAGTTTAATTTACCTGAGAGTACTCTGACGGAACGAGAGGCATTATTCGAATAGAAATCTTATAAGACGTTTTAGTGTGTAATATCGCTGATCATTATCCAACTGTGCTTCGGGGAGTACGAATGTCATGCGATATTTGTACTCAGAAATATCCGCGAAGTTCGCTCGCACTGAAATAACAGTGTGGCGTGTTGGATAATAATACTCTTGTTAGACGTTTTGTTGTGTAGTATTGCTGAGAATTATTACTCGTTGTTCGTATTTTGACTCGCCCTACGGGCTCGTCAAAATACGGTACAACAAGTAACGTGAGATATGCATTTTTGCTAGTTACAACGTATGTTAACTAGCCTGTAAGGCGAATCAAAGTACAAACAAAGAGTTAAAATACTCAGTGATGCCACACACCGAAGCGTATACTAAGTTATTCTGTGGAATACCCGTGGCAGGCCCACGGTAAGGATTGCCAGACGTTCCTTTTTCATTGTCGACGCAAATCGACAACTATAATTTATTCTTGCCGGATATGCTTGAAACGTTTGAGATTTTCCGCATCTCTTAGCAATGAATGAGTTTCCAGTAACCGGATCCTTGTGTTTGCGCTAGCTACTTTTGACGTAAAATACACGATTTTGGTGGGAGAACATCACTCTTTCGCCACCATTTTACCACCAATGGATTTAGGTAAGGTTGATACGAGGAAAGTGAACATTTTTGTGTGATTAACCATGAAATATGTAATAGGATCTACTGATTAACCTCTCACCTGGCATAAGGTTTATTGTGTAATTGACAATGCAAAAATTGTCTCAAAATATCACATAATTAATTACAAATCGACAAGAAACGACTCGGTATAGTCTCATTAAATATATTTAGATTTGTAGAGCCTGTATTCGTATTCGTTTTTGATAAACAAATTATGGCTGACATTATACTTCCTCAACGGTAAGAAGTCGTTGTTAGTGGAGAGTGAAATTGCTTTTACCGAGCTGTTGCTCTTTGGAGAGATGAAACAAGTGGTGAGAAACACGAAGAAATCAGTAGGTCGAGTTCCAGCTTGTTTTAGAAAAATCCAAAGGTTTCTGAGCTGTCGCTCTTCGCTATTTTCGACTACAAACACAGTGCGGTTTCTTCAACACAAAAATTTTCTACAGAGGTTTCTTCGGCTGATCTAATTGACTAATCATGGTAGTTTACTGTAACAGCACAATTATTTCCAATGCTACAGTACAGTCAGTAGCCAACGCATCCTACGGAATCGCCTTTAGGCGTCTTGTCTTTTGTCCAACTGCTTTATTTTAAGCGCATTTCATACAATGCGGAAAAAGCGAGGTAGATAAAAAGCACAGCACGCCCAGCTGACCATTTAAACAGGTTTTAAGGAAAAGTTACTGCCAGTGAAAACGTACTGGCAGGTTAGTGAGATAAAGAACCAAAACTGCCTCGAACCAATTCGCATCCACATTCCAATACGCCGCTGGAGAGAAAAGAAACGTTCTTACTTAAGAAACTTGCACCTGTAACACTTGTATATTTTTGTGCAAAAACAAACGGTCCACATCAGCCGTGGCTCACACGGATATTCTGATAATGTCTTCAAGTTTAAAACAAGCTTCTATTATCATCTTTTATTGCTATCACCCTTATTATTCATTTTAGTATTATCATCATAATTGCTATCATCATCATTATCATAATTAATCAAAGTAAAGCCTGAATAAGATTCCCCGACACGAAAACAGAAATAGGAAAGATTCTTCACTAACTTAATAAATTTTTTACCTTAGCTGAAAGTTTCTTCGAAATGGGTCAACTTGTGAACCTTTTGAATTATTGATGGTTTTAAAATAAAAAAAAAGGTTGATCCTTAGGCGGAGATCCATTACCTTACAGATTTGAACCTGTTTTCTTTCCTTAAATGATTTAATTCATCCAGCTACTAAGTTAACCACGCTTACCAAACTTCCCCTTGAAAACTTAATAGAGTAGAACACAGGCGCAGGGGAGCATAACAGAACTTCCTCATACACGACGATAGACCAATGGGGTTTGGTTTTTACCATGAAATCTCTTAACCTCTGGGCTGCCCACATGCAAATATTCTGAGCTATGACTTCTAAATCAAGCTTGGTTCTATCGTAAAAGTCAAACGCATCTCATCACAACCACAGTTCACAGTTTCTAACAGACAGAGGAAGAACTCCATAAGGTGAGTAAAAAGCAACGCTACCTAATGGAACCTAACTTATACATCAATTCGTTAATAAAAAATCAACGTAATCATATTACCATACTTCATAGTTTCCAAGATATCTGCTCATTTTTGGAGTTTTTCATTGAGAGAAGTTCGGCTGAAGTAAAAAGTATAATCACAATTCTTGAATAGCAGCGCTCATTTCTAGAATTCGAAGTGCTTTACAGTGAAAACCTCACTGAGTAAGAAAAATATGGTGACATATACGGACAAATAAAACTATTCCCTTCTTTGAGCGTATTTCCAAACTCTGAACGTTTTATTAATTGTGGAGCGCGTCGGGTTTGTTCTTAGGATGCGTAGCGCATTTCCTTTTGCGAATCCTTTCTTTATGCCTGGTAAAAAGTGTTGACAGGCCAGCACGACTCCTGCCAGGTGTTGAGTGTAGTATGGACAATTTAATCCGCAGTTGCCCATATGTAAAACAAAAACAGAGCGTGGTTGACTAGGATCATTACTGGAGTAGTTCACTACATGTTGAAGTCTTATTCTGTAATCACACACAGTGATTTCTTATCATTGGTTCTCAATCTGGTGTCTACTAACAGACTGACAATCCAGAAAGAACGAGACTAATATTCAGCCATCCTGACCGAACAAGCTTAGTCAACATAATAGTTTTTATGGCACAATAAACCCACGAGAGTCGTCTATGTTTTATTTGTTAGCTTTTGTTTAGACAGTCCTCTTCCGCTTTTGCCACTCTATTACCGATTACGAATACTTTATATTCGACAGGTGAAGCTTTTCAGTCTAACTATGAATGAAAAGTCTAACTCAAGCGAAAAGGTTATACTATGCTGGGCTAACTCGATGAAAGAGTCTGCTTACATATGAAATATGAGTTAAAAGTAAAAAGTGATAATGTAAATGTAATAATTGACTTCTTAGCGAAGGACACAACTTCGTAATTGTCACCTGAAAATTCCGGTTTGCTTATTAATTAGTCATTCGTACACGGTATAAAGAGGTAGACTTGTACAAAGCGATCATCGTTCTTGATTCGGCTGATTGTCGACTAGTGATCGTTTGGTAGGGAATGATTATCCCTTCACTCTCGAGTCTAAATTTCCTTCCTTCGGAGAAGCAAAAGAAAAGGAACATGGGCTCATCAGTTTTCCAAACAGTGGCTTCATTTTCCTCACGGAACAAAAACCTTAAGGTCATAAGGCGACATATACAAATATTATGTCAACTATAAAGGAACTAGTTCTTCTTCCTGTATATTCCAATCTGCTGTTTGGCGACCTTAGGTCACCAAGTTAAGCTTGTGCGCTTCGTTAAACTCCTCGGAATTTCATTCTCAACTTGTAGTTTTGGCAGGAAGGCGGCCTTCCTTTTAAGATCAGCGCAAACAAAATGTGACGAATGTTCATCTTTAGCTTCCATCAAAAATTGGTTAACATTTCCACATTTTCCATTTAGAGAAGCATTACGATAAACACGACTTTCTGGTTAATTGGGTAAAACTGGTCGAACTTAACCTTCCCGAAAAAATCCAACAGGTCACCAGGATACGTGTGCTAAACTTTCCGCCTCTGACAGTTTCAACAGGTCGCCTGCGGTTCGTTTAAAGATTTGGGAACCACAATAATTGTCGCGCGCCATTAAAATAAAATTTTGTATTGAGTCAATAACGAACTGGCAGGTCACTGAGATACAGAACCAAAACTGCGTCGGGAAAATACACTTCCTCTTCCCAATAAACCGCTTTAAAGAAAAAAAACCTTCTTAACTATGAATCTTGTACCTGTAACACCCTGCGATTCAGCAAACTTAAACCTCTCAAGTCTTAATTCACTTTGATGAGACACAACTAATTTGTTGATTATTAACCTTTTTATCTCCTTTATCTCTACATTTTGGGTATCATTTTTGTGTAGGAATAAACGGTCCACACCAGCCATGGCCTAATTTTCCTGAAACAGTCTAAAACGGGCGGGTACCATTCTTTGGCCCCATTACAGGTATCCATTTAGTAACATGACACTTCACAGTTCGCCCAAGCCTTAATATAACCTAATGGTGAAGTCCTTTTTTTGCGTGTGGAATGCATAGTCATATAGTAAAAACGGTGCTAGTATTGAACTCTGGAATGAAATCACCTAAACCACTTCAAACAGTTAAAAATTTTTCAGAAAAACTGTTTGTTGCAATCGTGTAAGCTTTATTATTAAACTGAGATACATTATTCGAATAGAAATCTTCTAAGAAGTATTATTGTGTAGTATCGCTGAATATTTTTGCGAGGTACAACGTATTTTAACGAGTCTGTAAGGCGAGTCAAATCACAAACAACGAGTTAAAATACTCAGTGATACCACACACCGAAACGTATAATAACTTACTCCGTGCAATGCCAAATTAATTCTTAATATGCTTAAAATGTTTGACATTTTCCGTATCTCTTAGCAGTGAATGAGTTTCCAGTAATAAGATCCTTGTGTTTGCGCTAGCTAGTTTTGACGTAAATACACGATTTTGGTGGGAGAACATCGATTTTTCGCCACCATTTTCCACAAATGGATTAAGGCAAGGTTGATACGAGGGAAGCGAACGTTTTTGTGTGATTAACTATGAAATATGTAATAAGATCTTGTTACCTTCGCGGCTCATTTTATATAAAAAAAAAAAAACAAAAACAAAAAACAAAAAACAAAAAAAACGTGCCTAAGCACGTTAAAGAACTGTTTTACCCTCATTGGGAATACAGCGACCCATACCAGGACTATAACATTGGTAACAAGCGACTTCAAAATCTAAAAGCACGTGAGAATAAGTCACGTGATATTACGTAACGAAACAACCGGAAATGAAAATAACGAAACGGAATTAAAATGGTAGCCACAGATCTACCGATTAACCTCACACCTGGCGTAAGGTTAATTGTGTAATTGACATTGCGAAATGGCCTTAAGATATCACATAATTAACTAAATATTGAAAAGAAATGACTCAGTACAGTCTTATTAAATATATTTACATGTGTAGAGTCTGTTTTCGTATTTATTTTTGATAAACAAATTACGGCGGCTAAAATCATGCGTCCTCAAGGGTGAGAAGTCGTTGTCAGCGGAAATGGAAATTTATTTTACCGAGCTGTTGCTCTTTGGAGAGATGAAACAAGTGATGAGAAACATGAAGAGATCATTAGATCGAGTTCCAGCTTGTTTCAGAAGAATCCAAAGGTTTTTGAGCTACCACTCTTCGCTATTTTCAACTACAAACACAGTCATGGTTTCTTCAACACAAAAATTTTCTACAGAGATTTCTTCGGCTGATCTAACTGACTAATCATGGTAGCTTACTGTAATTGCAGAATTCCCTCCAATGCTACCGTCAGTAGCCAACGTATCCTACGGAATCGTCTTTCGCCGTCTTGTCTATTGTCCAACTGCTTTATTTTAAGCGCATTTCTCACAAAGCGGAAAAAGCGAGGCAGATAAAAACCATAGCACGCGCAGCCGACCGGTCAAACAGGTTTAAAGGGAAAAGTTACCGACAGTGAAAACGTACTGGCAGGTTACTGTACTGAGATGCAGGGCCAAAACTGCCTCGAACCAATTCACATCCACATTCCGATACACCGCTGGAGAGGAAAGAACCGTTCTTACCTAACAAACTTGCACCTGTAACACTTGTATATTTCTGTGTAATAACAAACGGTCCACATCAGCCGTGGCCTACGCGGATCTACTGGCTGCTCTTCAAGTTTACATAAAGCTTCTATTATCATCTTTATTGTTATCACTCTTATTAATCATTTTAGTATTATCATTATTATTGCTACCATCATCGTTATCATAATTAGCTAAAGTAGAGCCTGAATACGATTCCCCGACACCAAAACAGAAATAGGAAAGATTCTTCACTTGTGAACCGCTTGAACTATCGATGATTTCAAAATAGAAAATTGATTGACCTTAAAGTAAAATCCATTACCTCAATGGATTACAGATTTGAACCTGTTTGGTTTGCTTAAATAATTTAATTCATCCGGTTACTAAGTTATCAACGCTTAACAACTTTCACCATGAAAACTTAATGGACTGTAACACAGGCCCAGAGGAGCATTACATTACTTCCTCGTACACGATGATAGACTGATGGAGTTTGGTTCAATTTACCATTAAATTCTTTAACCTCTGGGCTGCCCACGTGCAAATATTCTTTTATTCTCATAATTGCATGTTATCATAGTTAATCAAAATAGAGCCTGAATAAGATTCCCCGATACCAAAACAGAAATAGGGAAGATTCGTCACTAAGGAATAGGTCGTACTTGGGCAAACTTTTCATCTTTGCCGTCCGAAAAACTACAGAAAATTTAAAACCGCAACCGGAAAGCAAATCTCACGTCAAACTGAGTAAGGTCGCACCGGGATAGAAAAGTGTCAGTGATGACAACTGAAGTAGACCAGATACGCGTTTATTCAGGTGTTATCGGAAGACAGGGGGGCTCGGCTTTGGAAAAGAAAACCTCCAGGGGAAAACTCAACGAGAATGTGTCCCGTGGCAGCACTGCTGATAACTATCACAGTGACACTTCTACTTTTCATTTAGTTAAATCAGCAGCGAATTCAGAAGCGAATAACTCTACAAAGTGCGCACCGACCTCACCTGGGTTTCAATCGTTGCCTCTCTGGGATTGTAAATTTGGCTGTGAGGATATGCATATTGGGAATATTCGGCTCTTCCGCCAAAAAAGCGGGGAACCGTGACGGATTGTAATGATTGTAATCCACGTCCGTCCACGGCAAATAAAGAGTGCGAACTGAGCAATATCGCGCTCTTTTTTTTTTCAATTTTATCACAAATTTTCTGTTAAATTTTTATTCTCTGACAAGCGTGGAAAGTTAACGCTGCGATTCCTAGTGTCCAGCTCGATTTTTCTGAAATCTGCCTGCCCCACTCAAGCATTACGGCATCTTTGATGTTTTTGCCGATTGTCGAAGTTTTTGCCAACCAAGTTGGGGTCGTACAAGACACTGTCCCCCGATGACAGATTTTGGCCGCAAATTGAACAAATTCTCGCAAAAATTTACCAAGTACGACCCATGCCAAGCTCATGTATATTTTCTACCTTAGCAGGTAGAAATCCATTACATGTACCTTAATAGATTACAGATTTGAACCTGTTTGCTTTGCCTAAATAATTCAATTCATCCGGTTACTAAGTTATCAACGCTCCCCAAATTTCACCTTGAAAACTTAATGGAGTATAACACAGGCCCAGGGGAGCATAACATAACCTCCTCAGACACTACGATATACTAATGGAGTTTTGTTTTTATCATTAAATGCTGGGCTGCCCACATGCAAATATTCTATGACCTATGACTTCTAAATCAAGCTGGTCCTATCGTAAAAGTCAAACGCATCTCATCACACCCACAGTTCACAGATTCTAACAGAGAGAGGAACAACTCCTTAAGGTGAGTACCTCGCAATGCTACCTGATGGAACCTAACTTATGCACCAGTTAGTTACTAAAACATCAACTTAACCATAACTCAACTTCCTAGCTTCCAAGATATCTCCTCATTTTTAGAGTTTCACTGAAAGAAGGTCGGCTGAAGTAAAAAGTATAATCACAACACTTGGTTTGCACCGCTCATATCTAGAATTCGAAGTGCTCAGTTCAGTAAAAAACTCAGTAAGAAAAATATGGTGACATACACGGACAAATAAAACTACATCAAGTTTATATTAAAACTCACAAAGACGCATTAGCGATTCAAACCGCCAATTAGGTAGTAAAATAATTCGGCCTAACCCAGACACCTTAAGGACAAAATATTAATAGTTTTTTTGAACAGGTTTAGGTGTTCCATTCAAAGTTCTAATTCTTTCAGTGTTACTTCTGATGAACCAATACTCCATCTAAATATAAGCTTGAAAGGTGTTTCGTTGCCAAATTTATGTCAATGCAAGGCCAGAGAAGGTGAAGTGGTAGGAGCAACAAACAAAGCAGTTGATAGGGTCCCGGTACTCGTTTGGAAGCTATGGTATCATGATTAAATTAAGATCACCTGGTCAGGACTCGCAGTTATCCATAGTAGACGTTACCATTATTGTTCGCTTGAAATTTACGAAAAGTATCTGACGAGTCTCTTGGTCGAGACGAAACGACGCGTCATATCGGCCACGGAACTTTTTCACACATATTTGACAATCTTTCACTGTATATATTGTGACTCGTGAACGTGTAGCTGAGAATCGTTCTGCGATAGAGGCCAGACGGCTAACATCTTGACTTCGCGAACGGGACTTAATTTGAGCACGATGCTCGACGAGTTCGCTTGGAATTTACGAAAACTATAAGACGAGTCTCTTGGTCGAGACGAAACACCGCATCATAACAACCAGGAAATTTTTTTCACAAGAATTTTGACAATTTTTCATCGTAAATATCGTTGTTTTACCCTTTTTCCCTAAAGATATTTTTAAGGACTTACAGCAGAAAGAAGAAAACTAAAAAATAAATTACACGAAAAAAAAGCACGAACCTCGATCAGGAAGGTAGTTCGAGATCTTCTGTAATCTTTCTCATACTTGAACACGCGCGCCGTTTTACTTTACACACTTTCACTGCCTTCTGAGTTTCTAGTGGGTTAAATAATTAACTGTCGTCAGATAGCTGGTCACACAGGACGAATGTTCTTATTTCAGTGCCTTTAGGCAAAATCTAAAGCAGTCTTAAAGGTTGAGTAAAGCTTTAATCGTCTTTAATTGTCAAATGAAATATCCGAAAGCTAACTCTAACCTTTAATGAATCTTTAATTGAACATAAGTTTAACTTTAGTAGCGCAAATCTTTCAGTATCCTTTAAGTGGTTTCTTTTTTGGCACAAAAGAGGGTGTTTCATTAAAATACATTTAAGTTGACTTTAAGGTGAGATTTAAATGAGTATAGCTGTTCTGACATCTTTAATTCATGCATTAAAGATAGTCTCATTGTAATCTGAACTGTCAACAGAAAATTAAGAGAATCAGAAAGTACAACTAAAGATGAATTACAACAAAACCTGTAACTTTAAGCAGTACTTAAAGGGAAACAAAAGATTGAAGAAACCTTTAAGATACATTTACAAGTGGAAGTTTTGGTTGACTAAAGTTGACTTTACAAGAATTAAGAGGATTCCTAAATTCAATTAAATGGTTATTTAGGTTTGCTTTCATGTGATCTTAAAGTGTTCATGAAATGGTTATTTAGGTTTGCTTTCATGTGACCTTAAAGTGTTAACTAAATGGTTCATAAGGACACTTTAATTGACTTCGGAAAGTTCAATTAAAGATACATTTCAGAACTTTCGTATGTCACCTAAAGATGACTTAAATACTTCTAATGTTAACCTTTAAGTTACCTTTAAGGAAACTTAATTTAGTTATTTCATCCTGTGAAGTAAACTTAATCAATGACACTGTGGTGAACTCGTGGATAAAACATGCTTTAAGTTGACCATGCCAACCTGCTTTAAGTCAAAAGCGACTTCGGTACCACAGGCAATTATTCACAGTATTATTCGCCCGTTGAGGCGTTAAATTTGACCGTCGAGTCAAAATCTCTGCCCATTGAGGTGAATAATTCGACCTTTGAGTTACATTTGCCCGTTGAGGCGAAAGAAAAGCTTGCAATCATAGATTCAAAATGTGGATCGCTCGTTGAAGCTAACCATTCCGTTTATTTCAAATCGTATTTTCAGTATTTCCTTCAAGCTCTAACGCCAGCACCTACTTTCACATTCAAATTTCTGGTCTAGTGTCTTTAAAAAGACAACGCTAACAAGGTTGTTGTTCAAGGTGATACACGCCTGTGACGCACGAGGAAATTCCATGACTAATATAGGAAGGATCAATACTTGTCTCAAGTTTTTGATCCGTTCGCCTGTTCGAGAGCCGAGAACGACACCTTAAGCATTTTAAGTAAGGCAGCGCACTGGGCACTCTTAATGACGGTAATTACCAAATTCCACTTTAGGAAGCCACCGCGATAAATGGAGCCCAATTATCATTGAAGAGCTCCAGGGGTCGACCAATCATTACCCTTCAAAAAAAACTTGCTCTATAAGATTAGAGTATTCAGTAACAAGTTACAGTTGATCATCAGTACGTTGGAATCGGTCGTTGGGTAGATATTCATTTTTTCTAACTACTATGGTCGACACTCTATCGAATTAATATGATTTCTACTCACCGGCTGGCTTTTAATACAAATCATGAATTTTGCTTGATATCATAATTATGAATGAGACATGAATTCCTACTAATTGCATTAGTTTGCCAATTGAGTTCCGGGAAGCATAACACCGTTAATATTTAATGCTTTCAGCATTGGCGTTGAATTTTTTTGATGGAGACGTTCGCTCTGTGTTGATTTACCTTATTTTGGCCATAGTCGATTTTCACGATTTACATGTATAGTGCTGAATACCAAAGATTCCTCTTGCTTTTTTTGGCATCAATGTCAGGAGATTTCATCATACTGACCTGTAGACCTTGAAATCATTTAACTCCTAGAAACTCATTGGCTGTTCGCTGGGGCCTCGAGCGAGGATCCTGCTATTGAAATATCCTATCTCAGCTTGGAAGAAAATACCATCGTAAAGTGCTAGAACAGTTCCTGTAGCCAGTAAAGCCATGAAAAAATCGACCACGAGGTTACTCTTCCTCTTAATGACTGGATGTTTCTTGAATGGAGCGAAGGGCATCCAGTGTAGTAAGAGTGGTACTAACGGAATAGCGGCCTGCCAGTGCAACTTTATTGGGGCCTGTGATGCAAAAGGAAACCCGAATCCCAATTTAGCACAGTACTTGCCAACAGGTGTGGATCAGTTCGGGCTTGTCGAGGGAGGGCAGCGAAACCTGGCGTATTTGTGTGAAGGTGTGGGTGCAGTAGGAATTCTGTATGACTGCAATAACCGAATTCCTCTCTATGCGGCCACCGTGATCCATGGGGCCCAGTTAACAGGAAAGAGCTTAGGTGGTCGGCCATCCGTTAAATTTTCACAAAGCAGCATGCTCGATTCGTCTTTTCAACAACAAGATGGAGATTACGTAAATGCTTTAAAGCGAGAACTTTGCTATACAACAAAGAAAGGGGGCAAGTACCTCGTTGAAGAGGGCTGGTTATTAGCAAGTGGATGCAGAAAACGTTTCCTCAACTGTCCTAGAAAGAAGGTAATTAAAACATCAGTACACCGCGGACACTTAATTGCCTCACAGTATGGCCGCAACAATCAAGCTAAGAAAAAAGCAACTTTTACCTACACCAATGCTGTGCCTCAGTTCGGAGTGTTTAATTCGTACCCTTGGCAAGTCTGCGAGAAGCGACTCATTACATGGGGAAATCAGAACTGTGCTCAGGTGAAAGGAGCAACGGATGTTCGGTTATTTGTCGTGGTTGGTGCTATGCCATCAACAGTAGGTGCTTCCTGTGAATGGAGATATTTTGGCAGAGGGGGGTTCAGCGACTACCAAAACACTGCTCATTACCGGGTCAACGTGCCTAGTGCTATGTGGACTGCTGCCTGCTGTACTTACAGTGATAAAGGGACATTGAAATATCGCAGCACGGCCTTCTGGAGGGGAAACAATCCAGGAAAGGCACAATGTAATCGGGCAAACGTAGGCTCCTTAACGAGTCTGTTGTCGACAAGAGTTCCTGGTGGGACCGTGAGTTTCAATTTATTTCCGCAAACATCTCAGTGCAACGATAAGAAAACTCATATCCCTCTGCCGTGATAAAGACACTTGACAAAGCGAACATAGACTATGAAAGGTCATCGAGAGTTTAAAGGGAGTTAATTAAATTTCAGCCGAGAGCTAAACACCTTATTTTTCAGACTGGGGTCAAGTTCATTGAGAATGTAAAACGCCGAGGCTTGTGATTAAGCATGTGCTCACGTTCACAAGAGAGCAATCCTTAACAGATAAGCTTTATAATCTCGATAGTGAGTTAAAAAATAAATTTTTGGGCAGTTCAATGTTTAACGTTTACAACTGGATTTGCTATATTTCACTTAGCAACGTGTATCTCTCATTGCCAGAAATCTGGGACATTTAGAGCCCGCGCACATCAGCGGTAATCTTTCAGAAAAAAATGGCGGCCGTGGGCTCCAAGAGAAAGCGTTCGATCATAAATTACAAGGATTTGAAGGAAATATCGTGTGTTGTTTTGTATGACACTGCCAGAAAAAGTAAAGGGAAGTTTTTCGAAGTGGATAGGCTCATTGAGAAGAGGAAAGTTGGCCATGTGAGTACATGTCAGAACGAAATGTTTTTTCGATTTATTTGATTTTGTTATTTTTTTGGGATGATCGTGAGACATGTCTGTTCTTTCATTGTCAGAAAGAGGAGTATCTTGTGAAATGGAAAGGTTGGCCACTGCAAGCCTGCAGTTGGGAGCCAGAAGATCACCTCACACCACCCTTATTACGGTGAATGTTTGCCTTATATAACTGATTGAGTTACTCAATGTCCTTCTTCTCGTCTTTTCTTTCCCTTTTTTCACTGAGTTTACCATGTATAACCGTTGATGTAATACAGTAATAAATGCAGTTTTACCATCCACAAGCTTGTAGTTTTATTTTATTTCAAAATTCAGAACTTATGTCAGGGTTTTCGTTTGAGGCCGGAGGCCGGACGTTTCGTCCGGTCGTTTTCCATTCCATGTCCGGTACTTTGATTGCAATATTTGAGGATTTTTTATTATTTTATTATTATAATTTGTTTTTACTTAAGCATCTCATGAATTGACTGACTAGAGGGTAACAGAATACTGCAATTGAATTCTTCAAAAGTGCCACAAAAGTGCCTGGAAAACTTGTACTTGCTTTCCAGAAACGCTGGAAACAACGTTTCTGAGTGTTCTTTTTTAAAAATTTCCTGGGGGAGCATGCCCCCAGACCCCCTTAGAAGCTCGCGCTTTCAGCGCTCCAAAGGCGCCTTGCGGCGCCAAAAATAAGTCATGTCCGGTGCTTCCACGAACATGTCCACTACTTTACAAAACTGTCGAAAACCCTGTGAGAAAGGGAAGTCTTCTGCCCCTGTAGATGTACAAATTGACTTTGATGTGCAGAGGTATCTATGGAGAGATAAGAGGGGTTTTATCTGAACACCCTGGATACAAACTTTACAATAAAGAAGACTTCTTCCGTTTTACCACCCTTCCTGAGAGCTTGTGGTATTACCTTGATCTCCATGGACAGGGTAAATCTGTGGATCTGTGGATTTCCCTTTGAAAATGAAATCCCTTTTAAGCTGGACTCCGGTTCAATACACTAAAGATAATGGAATGCTGAAGCAGGCACCACAAGCACCAGTTGAAAAAGTGATAATACACTTGTGCAAGGAAGCATGCAATATTACAAAATTGTGAAGCTAGTTAATTACAGAATGCAGGGCCACTGTTTTCTTCATCATCAATGCCTCTCCAATTGGCCCAGTTCCAATGAGAGATTGAACATTTCCAAGAGCTTCAATTAAAATTAATGTATTGGCTTCAATTTCAGAAATAGCTTTCCTGAGAATTTCCCTTAGCTTGTCTTCTCTCCTACATTTGGTAGCAATTCCCATTTCTTTGAGTTTGGTTTTTAGCTCAGGGATGGTCATTGTGTCCACATCACCCTCAGTAATTGGTGGTTTATCATGTGTTGAGGCAACACACAGTCGTGGTCTCTTTCTTCTTTGCTCAAAGATGTCAGCTTCCCAATACTCATCTTTTTTTTTGGTATACTGGTGTGGTTGCCTTTCAACATCTTGAAGATGTTCAATTCTTTTCAGGGCTAGCATTGCCTCTTTGCATGCATCATGCTTGTTGCATTTGTTGTGGTATATGGAGCGTACAGTATCATTAATTTTTTCAACTCCTTGGCCAGTGAATGATTTAAAAGGGGTCTCGTCTCTGATGAATTGGGGTAGGTGGTAGGCCAATATATGAAAGTATGGGGTGACAGAAGCATTTTCATATCCAATGACCTCTCCACCAAGTGATAGATACAATTTTATCCACTCTGTTGCCTGTTTAGAATTAAGTAACAACAAATTAGTTTTTGTACAAACCTAGGAATTGTACTATTAATTAAAACCATAACCATGTTAGCAATTACTTGAAAGGAGTTAAGATGAGAAGAAAATTCAACTTACATCCTTAAAGAAGGAATTTATGCGATTTTGACTTGGCTTCCAAGCTGATAATGTTTGGTATACATTGTCAAAACCCTATAAAAATATAAGGATTGCCAAAGTTTTTAGTTTGTAATTTATTAACATACATCATTCTCTATAATCGAAAGGACGAATGTATGCAATTTATCATGTGTTTGAAGATAAGAGACAAGCTAAGGTTCTTCTGTATGATGCCACAGTGTCAGACCAGAGAAAATGTAACTGCTATTAGCTGAAAAACAAACAAAAAAAACACCTTCCATAGTTTGGTGATTGAATCACAGTGTTCTGGATCAAGGATCTGTGGGAACTTATCGGGAAGGCTTCGGAGCACTTTTTTCTTCTCATTCCCAACCATGCTTGTCCAATCATACAAGCCACTTGGCGTTCCATCAGCATTGCGCTTCTCCCATACACTAAAGCTCACCCCACAACTGTTAATCGCCTCTATGTTTTTTTGCATGGTTTTGTGTTTTCTGGCCAATGGTGCCTTGTCAAGGTTGTCTTTCTTGTCTTTCTCAATTGCATTGTTGAGAATGTTCTTCTCCAATCTATCTGTAAACAGACAGAAAAATATCTCTTCGTTTTCAGTTTTTATAGTATTTTCAAAACATTTAAGCCAAAAGTTCTGTTTCCTTAGAGTGCGGCAAGGACTTACTCTTATCCCCAGAATGTTATTCATGAGCCAGGGGAAATCTGGGGACAAGGTTAAAAAAGACTACATCCCAGGGACTTTAACATACACGTTGATTCTATATGGATGAAGTACCTGTAACTCGAAGCAGTAAGTGAACCTCGTCCACCCTTACGTTCTCAATTGGAATTTTTAGCAGAGCAGATCTAATGCATCCATAGTTGTTGTTTGATTTATTGGCTAGATCTTTGTTTTCAGCCAGTATTCTCCTATTCCCATCCATCCAGCAATAGTTTTCTGGCTTAGTTGTGTCCCAGCTGTTGAAATAAACATCATTTGTTATTTTAAACTTTTGTTCAGTTTCAATGAGAAGTGAATATTTCATCATTAAGACACATCTATTGTATAGGAAAGGAAAGCAGGTTCTATGATTATAGCTAATTGTAAGTTTTTGTTTTTACCGGGCATCCTTGTGTATTTTGTAGTATATGCAGGCATAGTCAGCACATGCACTGTTCATCCCAAGAACTAGAAGAAGGAACTAAGCAATATGATTCATAACTGATTAACACTTGATAATTTGTAAATTACAGTACTGCATTCACTTGAATATGTGCTGCATTTAGTGCTTATTAAATCTGTAATTGTGGTAAGTGCTTATTCAGGAGCAGTGTTTATTTTAAGAATGCACTTTTAATACTTGAATGAATACAATACTGTGTGCAGCCCAGGCATGAAATCATGTAATTTCCTTGGTTGCATAAGCAATTTAGATTAGTTTTCTTTGCCACTTGAATCTCATCAATTTTAAAAATTTTGTTAAAGGGGTGCAACATATACTGTTAAGTCCATCTAACATGTTGGAGTGTTTGGGGTGCTTATTTCAATGTATGGCAAGATTTCCATAATTATATAAATTATGTTTTCCCTTACCTTATAATCACCAGACAAATAGAAGTCCAAAGGTATCTTGTGACCATCCACCTCAATTTCTCCTTCATTAACCAGCTCATTAATTTAAGCAAACAGATCTTTGCAGGAAGCTTTCAGAGTATCATAATCCTCACTTCCAGAAACAATTCCAACTGTGTGATCTCCTGTTAAAATGCATATAGTTTTACATGATTTGTAAAAATATTTCTGCTTACTCAAAGTTCCATGACAACATTTACCTTGCACAGCTTCATTGCAAATAAGTGACTTAGCTTTATGGATTCTGTGCCTAATAAAGTATCTATCTATCTAATGTATCTATCCATCTACCTTTGCAGGACATTACTTTCTCTCCATCAGATAGCAAGGCAAATGAGATAACAATGAAATTTGTTATCCTTGATATTTTAGCACCATCACCAGATATCTTGACTTGTTGTTTTCCAAGGTCACCATTTTCTCTCTAGAAAAGNAAAATTTTTGAACGGGTGTAGTCAAACGGATACACGGCTGACAAAATATAATTGCACGGATGCAGTCGAGCGGATGAACTGATAAAAATTTTTGAACGGATGTGGTTGAACGAATGGACGAATGAATAAAAATTTAATAATTAATTTAGAACCGCTGCGGTCGATCGGCCAGACGACCGAAGATAATAATCGTAGTCGTAATACTCTTATTCTGGAACAAGCGACTTTGCAGCTTTATAAGAACGAACAGCTCGATCATTTTCTAATAAAGGACAACTGATTGATTCGGAAATCCTGATCTGCGTTGTAATTCATAGTTTCAAGAATAATTTTTTTATTGCCTTTGCCGCGGAGAAACGACAGCCGTCTGTGCGCTAGTATCTCAGAACATCTAAGCACAAAACAACAATAAGCCTAAAAGCAAAAGACGCGATATTAAGATATATCAAATGTCAAAATTATACACTAATCCACGCTAGAGATGTAACTCCTAATTCCACGTTTACAGTCAAGACAACAAGCGTACCCTCAGGTCGTTCCAGCAACTAGTGTCAAAATGACATCGACATTCCTGTGCGCGTAATAAGCAATGAATATACAACGAGAACTTCTCTGTATTTGGTCAGATTGAAAATCTTAGAGTAGATTATATTTCTTAGAAGACATTTCCATCAAATTCAGGGAAACTGAGCTGGTAGAAATTTTGTATTATTTTGCTTTGCGTGTGAATTCCCGGATCATTACGCATGCAAGAATGCAAAGAGTGTCTCCTGCTGTCTGTGTCAAAGTAAACAACATTTCTCAAGATTTCTCTGAATTTTTAACAAAATTTACGAAAAAGTTTACAAAAAGTGACTCCTGCTCGAGCGACCAAGTTGCGAACGGCTAGAGTAGATTAATCATGACTTTTTTGAACGGATAATGCGACCGTTGGAACGGAAGCAAATTTTTTTCGCACGCATAGCCCGAGCCGTTCGAACGGAAGCAAATTTTTTTCGCACGGATAGCCCGAGCCGTTCGAATGGAAGCAATTTTTTTTCGCACGGATAGCCCGACCCGTTCGGACGGATGCAAATTTTTTTCGCACGGATAGCCCGAGCCGTTTGAACGGATGCAATTTTTTTTCGCACGAATAGCCCGAGCCGTTCGAACGGATGCCCAATCCGTTCGCACGGCATACACACGGCATCCGTGCGTAAACGGCAAACCGTTCGGAACGTTTTCGCGTGAGAGGTCACAATTTTGTTAAAGGGCTGCAACATATACTGTTAAGTCCACATAACATGTAGGAGTGTTTGGTGTGCTTATTTTAATGTATGGTAAGATTTCCATAATTACATAAATTATGTTATCTCTT